GCATAATTAATTTTTCAGCTTTTCTACTGATATTCTAAAGTACTAATCATCACATTTCAATGAATCTAGAATTATGCAGACCCAATTAGTTTCCGGTAAATATTTGTGCATATTAATCACCCTAATTTGCATAATTAACCAACTTTCACACTGATATCTCAAGTACTATACATCACATATCAATGAATGTACATGGATGCTGTAGGACAATAGACAGACCTGAATAATTGTGGGTTAAAATCTGTACATATTAATTACCTAATTTGCATAATTAACCAATTTTAAGCTTTCACACTGATATCTAAAGTACTAATTATTCCATTTCAATGAAACTTAGTACAAAGATGCTCTAGGACAATGTACAAACCTAATTAGTTTGGGGTAAAAATCTGTTCATATTAATTCCCTAATAAGCATAATAATTCATAATTGTTTGGTTCTAATTACATTTCAATTAAACTTGGAGACATAGATTTTCTGTTACATTGCGCGGACCTCATTAGTTTTACACTCAAATCTGGTCATATTAATTTTCTGATTTGCATAATTAGTTTTCAGCCAAGTAATTTCAAAATATATTTAATGTGTCTCCAATACTCTCAGCACATGGGAGTTCTTTCTAAGCTTTCTTTGATTATGATATGTTTTGATTTTAAATTGATACAAGTCTTAGTGTAGTAAAAATCATATTTTGAACTTGTCATCACCCATTTTGTCAGTTCATGTTTGAACATAAGGATGAGGGACTTCATGCTTGTCTGCACCTGTACCTCAGACATTCCGATTTTATGCAAACTTCACACACACATCATATTGTACCATACATATGCACATGCATTTGTTTCATGGTCCAATTGAAGATGGTAGAATGGTGGCTATTTTAGTGCTAAAAATTCTACAAAATCAAGCATTTCTGCCATTCTGGAACCAAATCTCAGTCATGCATGGACATATTTCATTTGATACAAAATGGCTGGCTGATGTAAATTTTTAACAAATGCTGTTTTGGAGCCATATTGCTAACATGTGTTACATTGCTAACAAATGTGACACATTTGCACATTGCATCTGTTTCAGAATCTAACTCAAGATGGATGATCTACATTTTTTTTGTATCTGTCACATGTTTGTAAATAATTATTTGGCACTAATGACAGTTACTAAAAACTGGACAGGGCCTTGTTATTCACAATAACTTGCTCCAGACTGGTAAAGCTAATCTGCTGCAGAGAAATCTATGACTGGAATCATCTTCTCTTTATTTTCCTTGATGTTGTTGCACTAATTTATGCATAAATTGTAACCAATTGTTTTGTTTTCTTTTGATTGTGTAGTTACTTGGCAACATTCAAGATAATACTGATTATTCAGAACCTATTACTATTGCTGCTCCATATCAACCAAGGTGAGTTGCTCTCTTTTTTTCTCCATGGCAGGCCATGTTTGTTGAATTTCTGGGCTTTTATCACATGCATAACATGCATATCTGTACAGTGTAATGTAATGCCGGGCAAATACAAAAAATCCATATCCTATTCCCGTCCAGTCATACTGCATTGTAATTGACATACAGACGATGCATGCATCTCCTTTGGAGGACATGTACATGTGACTTGTACTGAACATTGAGATCAACTACTGGTAAAAACAACGAGGGTCTTGCATTGTCAATGCTTGTAACTTGTACTTCTGCTGGTCTTGCTAGGCAATCTGAAAATTGTGTTTCTGCAATATGGCCCTTTTAAAGATTACTTTAATGTTGTTAACAACTTTAATTGTCAATGAGCAAAGCAGAATTACCAAGTTCTGTACATAGGTATTCAATGTCACTTGTTACAGAATATAAAGTTTGCAAACAAGTTCCTCCTCCTTCATCAATCCATCATTTCATTTTTCAGGAAATATGAATGTGATAAATAAACTAACCCTAATCCTGACAGTCCCATGTGCTTTTACATTGACTTGACTTCTTTCTTAAATCTTGGTTTGATGCAAAATTACCACGACTGGTCTATTCTGAGGCATATTTATTGCTATTAATTATTCATAATATGCAGTGACTTTATGGAACCCGGGAGGGGAACACTTCTAAAAGAGGAAAATAGGCGTGTGCTTACATGCACTTCAGTATCTGTATTTCAAAACAACGTATGATAAGTCAGAATCTATTGAACTTGTATAAAACAAATAAATAAAGCGATTAACAAATACTGCGTGTTTTAATCACAGTTCCACACAGATAAATGATAATGATAAATTACTCTGGCTCTACTTATTTATTGTGTCACGTGGTGACAACTATAAAGGGTGCAACAGAACAGACGATTTGTAGAAAATTTCGTGTCAATGTGGGAGGTTCTGCAAACTCGTTCTTCAAGGATTATAATATAAAACAATAAAATTGTAACGACTGGGCCGGTCTACACATAAGGGTCAATCCCATTGTATTTTCTTTTAGTTTGACACTGGCTTGGAGAGATTTTCCATTAGAACTTATTTGCTATGGTTTTTCACATGGGCTTCATGTCAGATGGAATAAATTATGTATGTAGACAATTTTCAGCAAATATAACTGTATCCATTGTACTTTACGTAGTTACATTTCTGGTTGCATTATGACAAACAAATGAGAAATTCATTGAAACAACAATATCAACTTAGTATTCATTATTCATTTACGCAATGTATTAAACTAAATGTATATGGTTTTTATGCAATTTTACGAACATTCTAAAAATGTCACAATTTGCCTCCACTCACTTGTTTTGGTTCCATCGTATCTTGATTCATCATTCAACGTCACTGTCTGCTTAGTATGTGGTTAGTGGTGGAAGGTTCTCAAGATTTATGGATAAGTAAAGTTCTGTTTTGTTTCTATACCATCGCAATCCTCATTCATTTGTATTTCTCACAGAATATTCCAGTTTATATTTATAATACCAACAATATGTGATTTGTTTGGAACAACATTAGCAGGTATGTATATCATTGTCTTACAGCAATTCCAGGCACTGATTTGACGCCGAAGTAGTGCTAGATGTTGATAACATACTACAATAGGTTACACACTTTGTTTTCACAATTACAGAAGTTGTTACAAATAATGCAGATAGCATGTCTGCAATATTGAAGCGCACCAGAAGGAAGCTCCGCCCATAAAAGTGGCGGTACATTAGTTTTTAATTTTTCCTCCAATAAACGACCGAGGCTCTCAATTTAGTTCCCTACTTCAATTTGCGTTCAATTTGTTATTTAAATGAGCGGGGCGCATAATGTTGTGGCACTGTAAAGAACCCTAGAGTTATTTTACAGAACCAGCTGATCGACTGATCATGGCAGAAATGTTGATCAAAGTGCATTATTCCTACTATGGAAATATCCATATCACGCCGATCTATATAACCACGGTTACTAAACCGTAATATAACTGAAAGCTGCCTGCAACAAACGTCCTATGAAGACTTCGTCCAGTATATCAATAATGAAATTGAATACATAAGTAGAATGGATGTTATTCATTATTAGTTCTCAAC